GGTTATAAATGTCATTTCCTAATTGGCTCTATCATAAAACATGGAAAACCTTTACTAAACTGCAAAAAACTTTGTTTTTGTGGGACAGCCTGCAGCACATTTTGCTATAGTTTTTTCCAATGAATATCTCATTGAGTCTCAACCAATTCAGTTTGTGCCAGCCACAAAAATGAAGTTAACGGAGTATAGCAACTACTTTCAAAGTAAGTACCTTGCAATTGAACAGGAAATAACACTTTCAAACTAGGAAGAGATTTTTTTTCAAATTTTGTGACATAGTGTTTTCAGTGGTGCACTGAAAAGTTAGGGAAAATTTGACAAAAACTTTTGATACGGGGACTTCTTGATGGTGGCTCCCAAACTCTAGAGCTTCCTTCTGAGAGGTTTTTCCTCCTTTTAATTCCAGAAGAAGGAGCCCCCGGTGGCTCAGAGGGTTAAACCCCTGTGCCGGCAGGACTGAAGACCGACAGGTCGCAGGTTTGAATCCGGGGAGAGGCGGATGAGCTCCCTCTATCAGCTCCAGCTCCCCATGTGGGACATGAGAGAAGCCTCCCACAAGGATAATAAAAACATCAAATCATCCAGGCATCCCCTGGGCAATGTCCTTGCAGACGGCCAATTCTCTCACACCAGAAGCGACTTGCTCCTGACACGACAAAAAAATAATTGTTTTAATGTATATGTTTATTTTACTTGATGTATGATCATCGAATCGCTGCCTATATATGTAAGTTGCTCTGAGTCCCCGAAGGGGTGAGAAGGGCGGGCTATAAATATAATAAAAAATAGACATGCAAAGCACAAAACCTTCAGCACAAAGTAATAGTCTTCCTTGTGTTAAATGGCTTATCAGGCTAACAAATGACTTGAAGCTCTATGTTCCCTTGTATTGCATCCCCTAACAAGCAAGCTTCTTCCTTCTTCCACAAGAACATATTCATTCCTTCTATTTAGTTGCATGTTTGCTTGTTTGTTCCATTTTATTTGTCGTTTGTGTTTTACCCTTCTCTTTATGTGCCTATCTTGTCTTGCAGACACGCATTTGCCTTCAGTAGAAAATCATCCCAGGGTAAACTTAACAAACCACAGCAGGGTAGAAGGGCCAGAGCAGGATCCCACAGAACCGGGTGAGTTGCAACGACCAGCAGGAAAGCCTCCGGTACCCAAAGCCCGGAAGAACATCCACAAGACGTCGGATGTCAGCTTGACAAGCGAGGATTCCTTTTCCAAATCGTCAAAAAGGATCAAGCCAGCAAACGGTCAAGGGACGCCTCCGAGAGGCATCTTGAAACGCAATTCAAGTTCAAGCTCCACCGATTCAGAAGTGCTCCGTATGAACCAAACTTTGGACCCCTCCAGTAAAAGCGGATTGCCGCCCGCAGCTATCCTTGAAGGCGTTGCGGAGAAGGAGGCTTCTCCTGATGGAGAACTGGAAGGATACTCACAAAACTCACTTGAAAGACTCAAGCAGGTCAGGTTCTCCTCCAGCGTAAGTAGGAAAGAACGCCCACACAGCCTTGAGTTGCAAGAGGGCAAAGAAACCGGGGAATTCACATTGTTAGACTCCAATGACAATGCTGTGGGCGACTTAGATGAACTTCAGCGTGGGGCATCTCCGCCAGCAAAGCTGCCTCAGTCCCCTTTTCCAGCTCTAAATGGCAACGTTGAGGACGAAGGAGCATCCCAAGAAAAAGAAACCGCTCCAGGCTCTTATGGCACTCACAGTTCAGATCTTCCATCAGATCCTTCACCGTCCATCCAGAGCCCCAATGTGGAGCCCATACTTCCAAGCAAAATGTCCGGCAAGGTCCTTCCCAGTCCTGGGGAAGAACAAACTGTTGACATACAAGTCAAAACTAAACATCTGAGCCCTGAGCCAGACAAAGTATCCAAAAGCACATCTGGTAAGAATTATAGGGTGGCCCCATTTGTTGACAACTATTAAATGTTTTGACTTTGAGTAGCCCTGTTTGGCTGTTTTGCATTTGGCACTATGCTGTCGCTTTAGCATCTAACATTGATTATTTCAAATACTAACCAATACCATTTGCCATTTATTAACATCATTTCATTAGATACTTCCTGGTCACTTTGTTGTTTTGATGAATGGACTAGAAACAAATTGCAGGCTATTACATATTTAGGAAGAGGGGCCGACCAAGGGCAAGATGGATGGATGGCATCCATGAGGTGACTGGACTGACCTTGAAGGAGCTGGGGGTGGTGACGGCCGACAGGGAGCTCTGGCGTGGGCTGGTCCTTGAGGTCACGAAGAATCAGAGACGACTGAACGAATGAACAACAAAAACATATTTACTGGGTTAATATCACTTCTTTAGATTCTTTCTGGTCACCTCATTGTTTGTTGTTTTGATGAGCTGACTAGAAAAAAAAAAGTAGGTTAGTAAACCTTTACTGGGTTAGAATATCATATCATGGGTAAGTACAACTACTTAAGGAAAAGTCTGAAATCTAATCATGCCCTTGTTTTCCTCTGGAATTACATGCCAGGATTGAAGAACCGGGATATGTGGTAGCTGCACCATTTTCCTGCTCCAATTCCTATCTTTTTCTTCTTCTCTTAAGGGCAAACCATAGATTGCTGTAGTTTTTATACTTTGTAAAACCATGGTTTGCCTTTCAGTCTGAACTTTCTTTAGACAAAGGTTTACCTCTTTCATCTGTACCTGAAAACTGTACGAGAAACAAAGCTGCATCTCAGGGCTCTGTCTCTTTGCAACCTTTCATATGAGGAATTTGAATAGATTTTTTTCCATTTTGCCATCATATTTGGTTTTTTTAAGCAGGAATGTACAATAAGAGGAAGATTTTAAAGTTACTGTATATACTTGAGTATAAGCTGACCTGCATATAAGCTGAGGCACCTAATTTTACCACAAAAACTGGGAAAATGTATTGACTCAAGTATAAGCCAAGGGTGGGAAATGTAGCAGCTACTGGTAAATTTCAAAATCAAAATAGATACTAATAAAATTACATTAATTGAGGCACCAGAAGGTTAAATGTATTGTCGAAGGCTTTCATGGCCGGAATCACCTGCATCTATGGCAAGCATCCTCAGAGGTGAGATCCTCAGGTCACCTCTGAGGATGCTTGCCATAGATGCAGGCGAAACGTCAGGAGAAATGCCTCTAGAACATGGCCATATAGCCCGAAAAAACCCACAAGAACTGAGAAGGTTAAATTTTTTTTGAATATTTACATGAAATAATAAATGTAATAATAATAATAATAATAATAATAATAATAATAATAATAATAATAATAATAAATAGAGTAAAATACTAAATGTAATAATAATAATAATAGTAATTGTTGGAGCTCAGCCTGTGTGTGTTTAAGGACAAGGGTGCTTTAGATGTGGGGAGTGATGACAATGAGTTTCAAGAAGGTAACGGTCTGGTCAATGATATTGATGCAGTGAATGACCAGGAGATCCCTGTTCAAAGTGTAGTTTCTCATGAGAATATCCCTGAAGGGTGTGGGGATGATGGTGTGCTCTCTGAATTGCTACCAGAGAATTCCCATAATTTGGAGCTTGAGAACAGCTCCGCACCTGGCCCAGTTGCAGAAATTAATAAGCAAATAGATAGATGGGAGGTGATTAGACAAAACAGAAGAGCCGAACAGTGGCTTCAGCATTCTGCCAGGCTCAGAGAAAGAAAGACTACAAAGCTAAAGCAAAGCCAATTTCTGAGCGCTTGGGACATAGCTAACAAGGAGATAAAAGTCCCAAGTACAGGATCTGTAGTCAGATGAAGCATCGTTTGGAATTAAGCCAAGATCTCGTTCCTGTTTCTTGGAAGCTTTGCTTGGAAAAGATTCATGTTTAAAGTGCCTTTGTTTCATGGTTTTGATTATTGGATTCTATGATTTTGTATTCACTTACCGTGGATTAATGTTTCCTGGTTTCTTGGATTTTGTTATAGAAGTTTCTGCCTTGGTTTTTCATGGACTTTGATGGACTAATTCCCTGGACTATTTTGTTCCGGCTTATTTTCCTATCTAATTGGATTTACCTATTCCTTTAAAGTGCTTTTTACTTTACTGCTTTTTAATTATCTTCAATAAATGGATTGCATTTCTACTCAACTGTGTGGTGTTTAAAGTCAGAGGGCTTTTCCTGGTCTGGAGTGCAACAATAATAAGAAGAAATAGAGTAAAATACTAAATGTAATAATAACACTAATAATAAATAAAGTAAAATACTAAATGTAATGATAACACTAATAATAAAGTAAAATAACAAATGTAATAATAATAATAATAATAATAATAATAATAATAATAAATAGAGTAAAATACTAAATGCAATAATAAAATAGAGAAAAATAATAAATGTATTAATAACAATAAATAGAGTAAAATAATAAATGTAATAATAATCATAGATAGAGTAAAATACTGAATAATAATAATAATAATAATAGAGTAAAATAATAAATGTAATAATAATAAATTATAAATGTTAAAACAAAGCAATTTTTCTCAAAATGTCTTGATCATATACAAATTTTTGCAGCTAAAATTGACTCTGTCTCTTCTAGGCCAACAGCTGCCTCAGGCACCACAAGTGGGCTCTGCAGACCCCGAACAAGGTAAGCCGGCACTTGTTGAGGGTCAGAGTGCTAAAACCACTCCTAAACCTGACAAACATGCTGCCGAGGTCTTGAAGGCAGCCGATGAGTCTATATCAAAAGTTTTAGACTGGTTTGAAAGAAGTTCCAGTTCCGATGGTACAGAAACAGTTTTGTTAAGCCCTCAAGAGAAGCAACTCGAGGAAGAGGTGGAGGTGCCCAAGTCAAGAGTGTTGCCAAGAGACGATGACAGATCAAGTACAATTGTATTCAACCAAGATTCTTCCACACGTGAAATAGAAACACCAACTAATAAAGACTATAACTTCCACAAAATTATAGACCAACCACATCCAGTATCATTTGCAAAGCACGTAGGAAGTCCAAGGAGCATGGTGGTAAGAGAACAAAAAGACTGGAATCAAAGCAGACCAGAAGAGGTCAGAGGCTCTGGCAACTTTGGGCAGGATGTTCATCCCAGTGTGAAAACACAAATCCAGAGTATTGATAAAGATACAGAAAAGACCAATGGAAGATTTATGGGAGCGGAGCTCAAAACAGAAGTGGAAAATCCTTCACGCAGAGAACTGGATGCATTTCGAGACAAAAACATGAAACTAGGTTTGAAGAGGGTTGATTCTCCTGTCAAAGCAACAAAAGGGAAAAATGATACACCTTCACATGATGATGGAGAGAGGAATGTTAAGTCTCCTTGGGGAGAGCATCAACTTGGAAAGTTTGAAGGAAAACAGTCTGAATTTCTAGATGAGGAAACCATGCAACCTACCAATAGAAATAATCCTTTTCTTGTGCAGGAACAAGAATTAAGACAATCGTCTTTGATGGAAGATAAAAAAAGAATCAAGGACATCAGGGCCTTTTGGGAAGGAGAGAAAGCTACCCCAAAGGCTACAAATAAGGAAGATCTAGTAAATGGAAGTAAAACTGTGAGTAAAACAATACTGGATGATAAAAAAGAATCCAATAGAACCAAACCGATGAGTGGATCTTCAGGCTATGTCACGGGTGAATCGGACAATGAACAAAGCAAATACAGTATAGTTACCTTCCGAAAAGTTGAATTAAGTGACAGTGATTCTGAACCTAAAAATAATGACTTCAGGTTGTCTTCAGGAAAATTGAAACCAAACCCAATTGATAATTCCAAAAGAAGCCGTCTTGTTGATGTTTCTGCCCGAAAGCTTCCAAGTGAACAGAAGAATAATGAATTTGTAGAACAGATGGGTGGAGAGAATTTACGTCCGAGAGACAATAAAGTGTCCTTTTCTAAAGACCATGGAGGAGGTTTACAGGCTGGTGACCAGCAACAGAACCCTCACTTTAAAATCCATTCTTTAAAGGAAAAAATAGATGAGGAGTCCAAGGCAGAGATGCTCAGCCCTTCACAGTTTCAAAACCTAAGAAGCTTTTGGGGTGCAGGAGTTAAGCCAGTAAGCGGTGCAGATGTGGGAAAGCTAAAGCCAGTTACTCCCAGGAGTAGAAATAGTAGCACAGAAAGTTACCAGAAAGAATCAGATGAGATAAAGGAAGTTAATGCAGAAAATAGCCAGGCAGTTTGGGAAGGGAAACAACAAAAAACAATCCTCAGAGAAAAAAGGGTGGAGGAACCAAATGCAAAAGTTTCACCCCAAAATGTCTTTGAGACAAGCAGGGTATTCTCAGAAGAAGTAGAACAGCCAGATATGTCTCCATCAGTAGATGTTGGTCCAAATGGGAGATTAGATAGAAAAGTTGACTTTACATCAAGTGAAGTTGTAGAGACTGTCAACAGAACTCTGGTCCCATCGAAATTTGATGCTGATGCCTTCAACGTGAACTTGGAAAGATTGCTCAGGGAAGTCTCAGATGTGAAAACATCTTCCACACATCCAGTGATGGAGGATGTTTCTGAACAAGCTGTTTCTCTACCAGAGAAGAGCCGTTTTTTTAACAAGATGATGGAACTCAGCCATGGTGGTCAAAACAAGAGTGGGTTAGGTCCACAGAGAACGGAAGGAGTTGTGCAAAAGCATGACTTCCCAAAAGGTCAATCTTTTGAATCTAAAACAAGCACTGGGAATTTGCCTACAGCAATGGAAGAATTGGGCTCAGTACACAAGAGAGCTCCTAACATGGAAGAAGGTAGAATTCATCAAGATTATAGTCCTTCTCGGAAAGAAGCCTTTCAGATTCCATCTCCCAAACTGATACATCCTGATGCTTCTCTTGCTGCTCAGAAGAGCGCAGTCTCACCTGCTGAAGAGGTTTCCGAGACAGTGACAGGAATCAAGGCCCCATCAATCAAAAAATGCAACAATTTGAATGCCAGACTGATCTTCCTTCTTAAAGAATCAACAGAAACGCCTTGCATTTCACCCGCTACTGAGAATATTCTAAAATCACAAATTGACAACCTTCCCAAAGAGGACCAACCAAGGTATTTTGAGAAAGTGGCTGAAAAAACTGTTCCTGCCTCACCTCAAATGGTCAATCCCCTTCAAGTTTCCACCATTGAGGCATCTGGGAAAAGCACAGACACACGTGGAGATGGCGCCATTGGCTTTGCTGTGGTACCAAGTGAACCAACCAAAGAGGTCAATATTTTGTTGCCTTCAACAAACCAGAAAAATGTAGAAGCTGAAAGGTATGCCATTGACAGTCAAGCTGAGGATGTGGCAGAGACAGTGGCAAACACTGTTAAGTCAAATCCATATGATCCTGCAGCATTTAGAGCCAATTTAAGAAAACTGCTTGAAGAGCATTCAGAAGACAAAGAGGTCCTTCAATCAACGAATGCCCCATTATTCTCAAGTCAGAGTATACAATCAATTTTTGGAAAATATGGAACACATCGTCAAGAAATAATTGAAACAGTAGAAAAGGCTACTGCTCCCTCCCGTTCCAGACAGGTGGGATATCAAGTGAACTTCCAAACATTGCTCAAGGAAGATTCTGAAATCCTGCCCAACAACCAGAAAAACATAGACGTAAACACTGTAGTGCAATCAGAGAGGGAACCTAACCAGGATGTAGATTTGGTTTGTCAAGAAGTTAATGAATCTGTACACAGAACTGTTGTTCCACCCAAGCTGAAGCCAGGAGAATTTAATTCTGGCTTCCAGAAACTGCTTGAAGAAGTTTCCCAGATGCCACTTGTTCAGCTGGGAAGTTTAGATGACAAAATAAAGGCGAGCATCCAGGCTAGTCATGGTTTAGAAAGCATGGACCATCCTCAAGAAGCAGATGAAACTGTAATAAAATCTACAGTACCAGTAAAAGACAATGCTATATTCAAAGCTATCTTAGGAAAGTTGCTTAGTGAAAGTTCTGACGTTGGTTCACAATCATCTGTCGAAGTTTCTGATGACTCAACATCTCAATTAGAAAGCTCATCTGTAAAAATGCCAACATCCAGTGAGTCAAGTAACTATCGCACTGAGGTTAAAATACCACTCAGGGGCAAATCTTTCAAACAAGATAGCCAAACTGGCATCCCTGAAAGGATTATGGTGTTCCAGAAAACTGTCCAGGTTAATATTGCATCCACTGGAGACCAACTTGTGGAAAAGGGGGAAGGTCCTCCCACCAATTTGCAGACAAATGAAGGAGAGAAGTATGAAAGAAAGAGAGAAGAAAGGGTCTCCAGGACAAGTGCTTCCTTAGATGATGGAAACGAAATAGTGACAGTAATGCCTGGATCCCAGAGGTCAAGCACCCCACTTTTACAATATGAACATTCTCCTGAAACAAGTAAAATGGAGCTCTTTGGTGCTCACCCAAATGCTGATGAAAGTGAAGAAGATGCCAGGAGCTTTAGATCAGATCATTCCGATGAAAACGGCAATTCCTTTGTGCGAATCCAAAGAAGTAGAATCCGTGAGCACTTTTGAATTCTTTTAATGTCCTGGGTATTTATATGCATTTGTTTACAAATGTAGAGAACCATATGAATGTGGAACATTAGTCTCCAGTGTCAAATATTTGGATAACATTTAAGGCAGTTGGATATTGGGACATATTATCTCTGGATTGAAGGATGGCTATATGTCAAATATGGAAGATTATGTTTTTTGAAAATATATTTTAGTGCTTCTTATGGCATGTTACAGTTGGCCTTCCACGTTTGTGGGTTAAACTTTTGATTATTTGTGGTTTTGATTATTATTTTATCTCTAGGAATTATTTGTCATCTGGGGCAAATCTATGGTCAACTTCCATCAGACGTTGACTATGGAGTTATGCTAGAAAACTTAAGTGACTGGGTTGTTGTAGGTTTTTTGGGCTGTATGGCCATGTTCTAGAAGCATTCTCTCCTGACATTTCACCTGCATCTATGGGAAGCATCCTCAGAGGTTGAGAGGTCTTCACAATCTCTGAGGATGCCTGCCGTAGATGCAGATGAAACATCAGGAGAGAATGCTTCTAGAACATGGCCATACAACCCGAAAAAACCTACAGCAACCCAGTAATTCTGGCCATGAAAGCCTTCGTCAGCTTAAGAGATTCTTAGAGAGAACACTTCTCTAGAAATCTCTAGGTTGCCCCATGAAGATTCAATGGTGAAACTTCAACAGGAGTTGATCATGGATTCAGGGGCCTTCCACACAGCCATATACTGCATTTTTGTCCCATGTCCTAGTTTATGAGCTACAACTTGCACTATCCTATTCCCTTGTTCCTGGTTACGGTTGGCCATGTTTTATGACAGTTCTCACGATAGGTTATTGGGCACTGTTTTGAGTTTGAATCATTGTTTTATATGCTATTGGTTTTATCTTTTATTGTATTGTGTATTTTATTTTATGTGTTGTTTTAGGCACATTGTGCCATATATAAGCTGCCCCGAGTCCCTTCGGGGAGATGGAGGTGAGGTATAAAAATAAAGTTGTTGTTGTTGTTGTTATTATTATTATTATTATTATTATTATTATTATTATTATTATTACCCAGAATATCAAGACAGAAAATCCCACAATATCTGCTTTGAACTGGGTTATCTGAGTCCACACTGCCGTATATTCTAGTTCAAAGCAGAACGTGTGGGATTTTATTCAGCTGTCTGAAAGGGGCCTCATTCTGGAGGACCTAGAGATTCCCAGAAAGATGTTCTCTTGAGTACAAAAAATACAGGCAATCCCCAAGCTATGAACAAGATAGGTTCAGTAGGTTTGTTCTTAAGTTGAATTTGTTTGTAAGCTGGAACAGATACATTTTCAAGGTGTAACTCCATATATATATTTATATATATAAGCTTTGGATAGCAGGAAGGGTTAACAACCCTGCGGTGTTTGTTTTGCTGTCTATGCCCCTGTTCATAAGATTTCACTTGTTTTCTGTCACTATGATGATTGGATTTTGAAAGATTTGGCTTGGTTTGGAAACAAAGATCGGTGATAAAGCTTCAGCGGAGACACCTTTTCCCCACGATAATAACTCCTCCAGGAGTGAATTTCCCTTCCAAGAGTAGATTTCTCTCACTTCTGTTATCTCATTCCCGTTCTTAACTGTGAGTCATTTGTCAATCAGATGTTTGTTACTTGGGGACTGCCTTTAATGGGTTTGTATTTTCCTTCTTTCCACTTTTGTGGGAGTGCTGTGTCCTTTAACCACTTCCACCCAAAAGTGGAGGGACTCCTGTGCTATGTTCCTACATACAATTGCCAAGTCATAAAAAGTTGCTTTTGGGACTCCAATGCCCAGAATTTCTCTATTAGCAGCAATTCTTGGAGTTGTAGTTCCAGCGAGGAACATTTTCTATACTCTAATAACTTGGGACTCATTATTTCAAAACAGCAGCAATCCTGGAAATCCCCGTTTTTTTTTAATCCTGCCTTTCTCCCATTAAAGGGAGCTTCAGATATCAATATTGGATCCCACTGTAAATTCAAGCTCTGTTTGCCAGCAGATGAGACTTGTTTATGTTGTTCTTCCCATCCATCACGATCCCAAACTGCTTTTTAAGAGGAAGAATGTCTTCAATTTAGAAAAGGAGAACTTATGCTCTTTAGGATTTCTGCAGCAAAACATAACAAATAAAGTTTGGGACAAGGTTCTCCCATCTATATAAATAAAAATGTAATTTTGTTTGTGGGATTAACATAATTCAAAAACCACTGGCCGAATTGACACCAAATTTGGACACAATACACCTATCAGGCCAACGATAAAAACACTAATAAAACACTGAAAACACAGTGGAAGAGACCTAAAAAGAAAAAAACCCCAAACAAACAAACATTACAAT